ATTAGTGCAACCACGTTCATTTTAATGAGATTTTTTATTAAAAAATGAAGAAAAAAAATCATATAGTCACACTTAATGCTTATTTTTTATTTTAATTTTAACAAAATTATAATAAAAAGGACTAAATAGGACCAAAACAAAATTCAAGATGCATAATGTGAGTTTTTAAAGTTTAAAACTATGAAAAATCGAAAATGACATTAACGTTTTAGAATGCACCAGTAAAATTAACTCTATTTCAAATGATTAATTTTGTATACGAGCTATGGGTCGTATGTTGTGCTTTTGTTTATTTAAAAGGGATATAAACCCTTCCGTCACATAAAACCATTCAAAACACTCAATTCTTTTTAGATTATTTTAAGAGCTTTCGTAACTAATTGTAACTTTAGAAATACGCTCGAATTATTGATTTTATATTAACTTGCACTCCGATCGTTCTAAAATGATCATTTTACTCTCTTAATTATAAAAAAGTAAAAAAAATAAATCATCTATTTCGTCCAAATCTATCTATAAGACAAATTAAGTGATGACATAGCATGATCAAAACGAGTTAATGAATGTGTGTGATTGGATAAAATTGTCTTGAATGGATCAAAATTTCCCAATCAAACCTAATTAAAATTGAAAAAGACATTATTAAAAGGTAAAAACAATCTCGATAAAATAATTTAAAGATTAGACACACACAACTTCCTCTCAACACCTACCCAAGGCATGGACGGTGGTGCAAGTCCCCTCGTCCCTACCACCGTGAGCCGCCACGAACTTTCCACCGTAGATGGGGGTGTGGGGAAGTTGCATTAGTTTTTTTATTGACTTTTTTTTATTATTTTTGTATTTTTTTGTTACAATTTATTTAATAATTTATCTTTTTTATAATTTAATTAAGATTTAAAAGGAAAATTTAAATATGACCAAGAAATTTTACCAAATCACCTTTCACTGGTCCATTTGGAATTTGTCATATTAGCCGTCTCATTAGTTTTATAGATAGATTTGGACATCCCGTGTTTTTTGAACATTTTTATGTAGTGCCATTTTTCTTAAAGAAAAAATTACGAGCTAAACTGACATAAGAATCATAATTCGGAGTATTTATGAAATTAAAATAGTGCCAGTTGGATAGAAGCAGCATTCACAATAATCTTATGTAGTTGAGATTGGGATAATTAGGAAATTAATCCCATTTCATAGTAAACATTATTTTTGTTTAATTGGAGAAGAATGTCTACATTATATATATATATATATAAAGTGTTGCATCCAGATTACAAAATATGTTTCATATTGTTGACAATAAAAATTAGTCAACTTAGAATTTTTCTCACTACAAATAATTGACGCGTAGAATAATCAATAAGACTTGCAGAAAAATTTTAAAAAAAGACACAAAATTTATAGATGTTTAATTGGTGTAATGTATACATCCTTCGCAGAGCTCTGGTGTTGGTTTTTTTTTTTTTTTTTTTTTTTTTTTTTTTTTTTTTTTTTTTTTTTTGTAACTTAAAATATCGAGATATATGTAGTTATAAGCACAGCCTAACATTCATTTTACCTGTGATTTTACCGTAAAGTAAAGAGTTTAAATTCTCCATCCCAAATTAAAAAAAAAAAAGTATGGAGACATCAATTCAAAAAAAAAAAAAAGAACAAATCAAGATATCTGTTTTTTTTTTTTTAAATATTGTTTTTGTTCTAATAAAATCATAATAATTTATGTATTTAGCACCTGTCAAAATTTTTTTTTGATACAATATAAGGTCTATAGCTCACACTTTACTTAAAAATTAAAACCATAACTTCGAATTCTAATGGACACATACGCACACTCACAAATCCAATCACTTAAGTTACCATCAAATGACATATCTATTAAATTTTTGTAAGTTACAACACTAAAATTTAGTTTTTTTTTTTTTGGCTGAGAATTTAATTTGGCAGTTGAATTCATTTGTTGCTTTTTAGCAAATAGTAGAGTTATCATTTTACAACAGAGTATTTAGTAACAGTCAATAAAGAAATGCACGCGCTCCGTGGTAGTTTTTTTTTTAATTATTATTATTCGAAAAAAAAGAGAAAAACTCAGGAAAAAAGGATAATTACATTGTTGTACCTTAAATTTTTATTTTTATATAATTATTTTAAATTTTAAATTGCACTATGCACTTTCAGATAATTCGCAATTGAAATTCAATAAATGATAGGTGAAATTCAATAAATGAGTGCTATCTTGGGAATCCTTTGTTCGTTTCAAGAAATAAATCCACGGATTTCAGCTTTCTAAAGGAAAAGCTTTGGAAGAGACTGAAAGGCTGGAAAACAATCAACTGGTAGTTTATTTATTCGAATTTTTAATTTAAATTAAGATATAATTTTATGTGAAAATTTTTTATTATAATAAAAAAAATTAAATGTGATTATTTTTAAAAACTTTTTATTATAACAAAACTCGATTTTTGATCTCGTCTGGTTAGGAATGGCTGATGCCTTGTGTGCTTGGGCCAGAATCTCATCTTTCTCTGGCCAAGTTTCACTAGGGGACGTCCCCCCTCTTTGGTGACCAAATTTTCTAAGGATATTCCCTGATTCTCCTGCTTTCAATAAAAGAATTTATGCAACAAAAAAAAAAAGATGGTAAGTGTTATTCAATTGAAAATCAATAGATGATATAGGTGTTATTCTCACGTCTCAATTCGTCAATATTATCTACTAATTAGTTATTAGATCTTAATTCTTAGTAAATTTTAAAGTTAGGTATTATCTAACAAATGATTAATCTCATTGGTGTATCCGAACTTTGAGCTTATTCCTATTTTGCTTCTTCAATTTTGAAAATTTTCACTTTACTTTTTGAATTTTAAATTTGTCCCATTTAAGCCTTTTTGTAAGAATTTATGTTAAAATTAGACGGAAAAAGAGAGATTTAAGGCCTATTTAGTTCGTTAATTTTATGTGAGAGTTTTTTACTGTAACAAAAAATTAGATGTTACTGTTTATGAGAGCTTTTTACTGTAGCAAAACTTGAATTATAAACTCGAATCGGTGAAATGAACGAGACCTTAATTATAAGTATGTGGTTTTTTTCTTTGTTTTTAAAAGAAATTGAAGCAAAAAACATATGATTGCATTACTGCATTATTCTATTTTTTATTTGTTTTTATTATAAATTACAATAGAATAGATTAAATAAAAATAATTTAAAATTTAAAAAGTAAAATAAGAATTAATAGATAAATTAGACATTATTCTTTTAAAGTTTAAAAGTACTAATGATAATAATTCTTCATCAAAATTAAAAATTTAGTATACATTATCCTGAAAAAAAAAAACAAAAACAAGTTTTTTTAGTGTAACGGCAATTTACTTAAAAAAAAAAAAAAGGGAAAAGAGTTCAAACTTGGAACATAGAAAGGGGCCCACGTGGCAAAGCTGGGGCGTGCGCTCACGTGAAAAGAAAAGTAGCCGAGCCCGCATCACCCAATTCCTGGTCTTACACGTGCGCCGAACTCCGGCACGTGGGAGACTTCCTCTCTCTCTCGGATGGACATTAAGGTCTTGTTTATTTTGTATATTTAAATTTTTAATTCGAACTGAAATGTGATATTTTTTTAAAATTTTTTATTATAATAAAAAAAATTAAATATAATATTTTTTAAAAATTTTTTATTATAAAAATTTAAAATTAAAAATTTAAATGGTGAAATAAAGGAGGTTAGAAACAGAAAGACATGAATATAAAATAAAGAAAAATGATATTTTATCTCTTATTCACATCAGCAGCGGACTTGTAATCCCATCCGAATGAACAGGATGCTCTAAAATAAAATAAAAAAGAGAGAAAATTCCATTGTCGCATCACGTTTGAACACGTGTCCCTCACAGACGTCACATTTTGATCACAGTGACGGTTAGAGAAGAAGGGACGGTCAGATTCAGATATCACGAATCCCGTAACGGTCTTTTAACGTGTTGAAATGTGGAGGGACTTTTTGATGTGTCCGAAATACCCTTCGGAAATTTATCATTCGCGTGAAGTGGGTCCCTTTCTGCTTTTGGATTTTGGGTCAACTTAAGCATGTTTAGCTACAGAAAAAATGTCCCGCTTTAGGATAATATTTTGTTATTATTATTCGGTGGTGGTGGTTTTTTTTTTTTTTTTTTTTTTGTTGCTTGCAAAATTAATACATATTTAGGTGTTGTACTAGTAATCATCATCTAATTGCGATTATGGTTTATCTTTTTTCTTTTATTTGCTAAAAGATTTTGATTTTAGGACCCGTTTAATTCGCTGATTTAAGTTTTTAATTTGTGTTGAAAAGTAATTTTATGTGAAAATTTTTTATTTTATTTGCTAAAAGATTTTGATTTTAGGACCCGTTTAATTCGCTGATTTGAGTTTTTAATTTGTGTTGAAAAGTAATTTTATGTGAAAATTTTTTACTGTAATAAAAAAGTTAAATGTGACTATTTTTAAAATTTTTTTACTGTAATAAAACTCAATTTGACAATATAAACGGAGCTCTTTTTCTTTGTTATAGCCACAACTATTAGTAATACAGAATACAAATTTGTCAAACACACATATATACAAAAGAAGCATAAAACATATTACAAATAGTAACCACGTTGTATGATAAATAAGATAATTTTGTTTGTTTACAAATATCGAGTTGGTTTTTTTTTTTTATTCATCTAAGAAAATAAGAGAATTTGTGGATAGAACTCCTCAACAAATACCAAAGTTGTTAGTTTTACGTTTTGTTATGTTTTAATAATATATTTTATATTGGCTAATTCAGCAAAAAAGAAAATATTGGCTAAAATTTTCGTTACACTATCATGAAGGAGATCAGTAATGCATGAAGGACAATTTTGACAAAACAAAAGTGCACTTTACCCCTCATAATAATCCACGTTTATTCACCTGTAAAAGGATAAAAAGCCTAAAATCTCTCTCCGTCTTGTAGTGGCAGAATCGTAAAATAAGGAAAGCATGTGGGCAAACAGTAATCCTCAACACAATAAGCTCGTCGTCTCCACATGCCCCTGCTACTTCTACCCAGTCGCGTCACTTTAGTTTTTACTCTTCCCTCTCTCTCTATCATTTTGCCGGGATTTCATCAATTTCAATACCACTTCCGCCACCATCGCCGGTTTTCAGGCGAATTGCCCCCGTGATCCGGTCCGAGGACATAAACCCGACCCGATTATGCATAGATCTGATCCGCTATCTAATTTCCGAGCTAACGATACCTGAAAAATTCTCTCTTCTCTCCCAAACGGTGTCGTTTCCGCTCCGATTCTCTCTTCTTCTGATTTGCGAAACTACGGTGTCGTTTCGCCAACTCCGTGCAGCAGGGGATTTGTGAGGTTTTTAGAGAGAAAAAGAAGAAGGAGAGAGAGGGGGGGGAGAGGAAGAGGGGATGACGTCGGGAACTCGGCTTCCGACATGGAAGGAGAGAGAGAACAACAAGAAGCGAGAGAGGCGACGGAGGGCCATAGCGGCGAAGATCTTCGCCGGTCTGAGAATGTACGGGAACTACAAGCTCCCGAAACACTGCGACAACAATGAGGTCCTCAAAGCCCTCTGCAATGAGGCCGGATGGACTGTCGAACCCGATGGAACCACTTATCGGAAGGTAAGATTTCTGCTTCTCAGCTCTCCTGTGCTTTAACCTTACTTTCTTAATTGATTGCGGATTTCCAATTTTTATGTTGGTGATCGTCAATATGAGCTTAATTTGTTACGAATTGCCATTCTACATATGATTTTCAGATTATTTCAGCAAAAATATATAATTAAAATTTTCAGATTATTTCAGCAAAAATATATAATTAAAATTTTCAGATTAGTGTTCAGATGATTTTCAGCAAATGCATGTTTAGTGGTTTTTTTCCTCCTAAATTTCAAGGCCAGAAATTGCCGCATGTTAGCAGTAGCGGAACGGTGCAAGTTAGCCGTGCGCTGTTGGATTTCGCTAACATGCGCTGGGATGAGTGGCGCGAGGCAGTTGCTTTGCAATACTGGGGCTAGGATTTTTCCTTTTTTTTTTTTTTTGGGCCTTTTTTGTTCTTTTGTTAACTGATAGCAACAAATGGGGGTCAGATTTTACTGCTGTTTTTTTTGTTCCTTTTCTCTTCTTTTTTGCTTTTTCACCTTCTCTCACCAAGGTACTTTAGATCTAGTGAGGTGGTATATAAATATTGCTCTTCTTTTTTTGCCTTTCGTTTCTTTTAGTCGCTTTTACGCGTGAAAGAAAACACACAAGATTCTCCTCGCTGCTTCTTTTTCTAGTCTCAGAGCCCTGTAACCACGTAGATCTCGAGGAGACGAAGATACCCTTCCTAGAACAGCCAATTGGGTTTTGGGATTTCGAGAATTCAGAAGGGTACTTTTGCCAGTTTGGTGTTGTTTCTTCTTTTTCCGCTTACCCTTTTCAGTGCCACAGATTTTAGTCTGTGCAAAACCTTTTACTTTTATTCAACAATGCAGAGCCTTTCTTGGTTACTGCTAAATTTTCCATTTGGGAGATCCTTTTTCTCATGGTTCCCGTGATTTCTTTTCTTGTTGAGTTTGAGTCCATTTAATTTGTTTATGGTGTATTCTGAACCAATCATAGTCTGTGCATTCAATAACTACTGTTTGTGTTGTTACAAAAAACTAAAGGGTATTTTGGTAATTTGATTATTGGAATGCACTAGCTGATTTTATTTTATTTTATTTTTCCTCCCTGAAAAATGAAGTCGCAGTTGGTAATCCCCTGAGAATGCTTTTGTGAACCAAGTCCAGTTTTTAGTTAGAGAATCTGGAAAATCATAATCAGAGTTAGCAACATAGTAGTTTGATGGATAATGCTGGTCCTTAAATGCAAAAAGATTGAATTTTATGTACACAGTTAAATGGATTTATTATGAATAGTAATGTTGAGATATTGTCATGTTCCGTGCGTAATGCATCCAATTGGTGAAGTGGCAAATACATGATTTTTACTCAATTGTCAGTCATACTCATTTGCTTTACAAATGCAAAAAGTAGCAAAAATATATTCATATACATTGCCAAAAATTGCAAATACTTTATGTACTCAAGAAAATGTAAACATATTCTTTCACAAAAAGAAAAAGAAAATATAACTGTAAGTCTGTAATTGTTGTTGAGAGTTCTCTAAATAATGTTTCAATATATTTGGCATGAAATTTTAGAATTTGTAACTTCAAGCAATACTAAACTTGTCAATATTATGTATTTATCATCCACAAAGCATCTTCACATGCCTAAAGAATTGAATAGCCATTCTCATTGTTACAGGCTTGCAGCATGTGAGAGGTATCATGGTTCTCCTGTCTGTGTGTGATTATTAGCAAATTGCTTTTAAAGACCTTCTAGTTTAGTTTTTGGTGGAAATTTTTTGACAGTGCGGGTTATCCTTAAAATAAACGAGGCTTTGAATTATTAATTGCGTGAATAATCATCTTTAGATGCATACAGGGATGCAAGCCTGCTGAATGCATGGAAGTGGCGGGTGGATCTGCAGCAGCGAGCCCATGTTCATCGTACCACCCAAGTCCCTGTGCCTCCTATAATCCAAGTCCTGGCTCCTCTTCCTTCCCTAGCCCAGCATCATCTTCCTATGTTGCTAACCCAAATGGTGATGGTAGTTCCCTTATCCCATGGCTAAAAAATCTCTCCTCGGCATCTTCATCCGCCTCCTCTTCAAAACTGCCTCATCTCTATATTCACAGTGGTTCCATCAGTGCTCCTGTTACACCCCCATTGAGCTCCCCAACTGCCCGAACACCAAGAATCAAAACTGATTGGGATGAAAATTCTACCCGCCCACTCTGGGGTGGGCAGCACTGCTCCTTCCTGCCATCATCTACTCCACCAAGTCCCGGTCGTCAAGTTGTTGATCCAGAATGGTTTGCTGGTATCCGGCTTCCCCAGACAGGGCCAACTTCTCCAACATTCAGCCTTGTTTCTGCAAACCCATTTGGTTTCAAGGATGAGGTTATGGCTGGGGGTGGATCCCGCATGTGGACTCCTGGGCAAAGCGGGACATGCTCTCCTGCCATTGCTGCAGGCTCCGATCACACTGCTGATATTCCAATGGCTGAGGTGATATCCGATGAATTTGCATTTGGAAGCCATGCAACCGGGTTGGTTAAGCCTTGGGAGGGCGAGAGGATCCACGAAGAGTGTGGATCAGATGATCTGGAGCTCACTCTTGGTAGCTCAAGAACCAGATGAGTTGGTATAAAAATTGGATTATCTGCATTAATTGATTTAGTTGCAACTTAGTTTAATCATGTTGAATTGCAGGTAAAAGAATTGTACAAGTAGAAAGATCAGCTGGTGTTATATAAACTCTCACTCCTTGTTTGTGCTGTTTAACGCAGAGAGTAACGAAGATGTCAAGGTGAGCACAAACGGTTGGGCCCTTTTTCCATTTTTTTTTTTTATCCCTCTCTTTTTGCTATTTAATTTTTATTTGTTCCTGATTTATATATATAATTAGTTGAAGGTGTGGGGTGGTTTTACAACCCTTTTGTCATTGTCTATTTGAACCTAAATTTTAATGGAAAGGACTCTCATACATGTATGGATTGATTGCCTTTCATTTTTGTTTGCCATTGCAAGTAACAATCAGTGAGCCAAGAGAACAGAGAGTGTAACTTCGTAGCAAAAAAAAAAAAAAAAAAAAAAAAAAAAAAAAAAAAAAAGAGGAAGAGAGAGAGAGAGAGAGAGAGAGAGAGAGAACAGTGTAACTCAATGGTCAAAACTTTAAAATCGGAAATTGCATTCCATATCTTATCCGGCATAATTTTTTTGCTGGAGACCAACTTCTTTGGCTTCTTGCGGTAACTGTTCTCCAATTTTCACGGGTGGTGGGAGTGACAAAATGGGAATATTTTTTCTGCCCCTTTAATCAAAAGGTGCCTTATATGCTATGTTGTTGACTTGTATTTATAAGAAAAGAAGAAGCACTTGGGAGACAAGGGGCTCTGCTAGTGTGGACCGGATTTTGGATTGGCTACAGGGTTATGCCTCTTTGAATTCCTCTTTACCATCCTTTTTTGACTAAAAAAAAACCCTTTTCTAGGTTTGCCCTTTAGTTTGTCTGGTAAAGTCCTACCATGATGAGAGCACTAAACCCATTTGCCCTACCTTCTTGTTTCTGCCTACCAATTACTGAAACCATGCTAATTGATGTTTCTTCCTAATTTACACAAGGCCGATTTTTTTTTTTTTTGCTTGGGTGAAACCAAAGATTTACACTAATAATAGTATAGTAGTAATTATTTTTCACGATTTTTATATTTTATTTAATTGATTTTAAGTCACTTTTCAAGGTCTATAATTCACAAATTCTTATATAGTAGTGTCATTCTTTATTTATTTATTTATTTTTTTTAGCAATTTTGGTTTGAAATATGAGATACTTAGTTAAATTTTGGGGTAAATTGAAATGGTTTTAAAATTTTCATATAAACATCATAAATGGAAAAATTTAGAGGGGGCAAATCCAAAGGGAAAAAACTAGTGTGAAAAAAATTTGATTGGGGCAAGATTAAAGGGGCCTCCTTGCATGAGTGGTGCAATTGCCCCCACTCGGCCTACCACTGGATGTGGGGTGCAAAATGGTAAGCAGTGGCATTGCCTGAAGTGCGATTATCTAACCAAAGGGAGAACTTTGTTAAACCATGGACCTCCAATATTCGATGCAGATAATGTTTTTACTGAATGCTCTTGGGAAGGAAAAATAATAAGATAGAAATATCAGATAACAAGTTCCAGAAGTAATTGCTTATTGAAAAAAAAAAAAAAAAAAAAAGTTCGAGGAGTAATTTGGAAGAGAATGATTTGCATGTTCTAATAAGTGAGCAATATTAAGGTCACTCTTGTATTGACTACAGCTTGCTCTTCTCTCAATTCCAAAGCAAAATTGAGCCATCGATTGTTGGTTTCTTTTGGCTAGAGCGGCTAAAAGCAAAAAGTAAAGAGAAAGAAAAGAAAAGGAGTAATTATGCACAAGAGCTCCTATTCCCACCACTCCAGAAAGCAAATGAAATGTCAGTATCCACATTACCAAAAGAATCATACCCGAATCAGATTGATTGTCTTTTTCCATATCATTTTGTCTGGCACTTAGTATTTACAATGATTTTGCCGTGTTCGAATTTCATAGGACACAAAGTTATATTGCCGATCAGGATCGGGATCCAAAGGCAATAGCCGTATTCAAATCAAGTTTAATGAATATGAACGAAAGAGCGCTTTTTGTTTGTAATAAATGACACGATTGCGACATCAAATGTAACGATAAAACTCTTTTTGAAGTTTACGAAAACAATTGAGAATTTACAATGAGTATGTGCGGATGATAAATACTTGCAACAAAACTTGCACGGTTAATTTGCAAAAGCCAGATTATTACTTTGTAGTGTGATAATATCCAAATTTGGCTACTTCTCTCGTTCATGAAGGCGACGTTAAGAAGCTATTGCCAAGGGAGTCCGGGGTAAACTTTGGACCTTCACCTACAACAAAGATCAGTTACTAGATTGCAGCGCTTCTCAAGGCCCTCCGTGTTAGAGTAACCCTGCCGGGGCGGTCCCTTTACTGGAAAAAGAAATGAAAATTCGAAATTAAAGGTCTTACCGCGCTTAGAATCATCCTTGCCAGAGACGTGTGACTGAAAATAATGCACTACACGGGATGACATACCAATGACAAATTCTTTCTCATCTTAAATTAGAAGTGGGAGAGACTGGAGCTATATCAATAGCAACCATAAATTAATTTGATACGATATAAAAAGAATACAATAGTTCTAGATCTGGTTCAAGACGAACTAGTGAAGGGAATTTATTGAAACCCTTGAATTCAGAATATGGTAAAGTAGCTCCTGGGTGGGGAACTACTCCTTTGATGGGTATCGCAATGGTTCTATTTGCGATATTCCTATCTATTATTTTAGAGATTTATAATTCTTCTATTTTACTGGATGGAATTTCAATGAATTAGATTCACAAGAACTATTACCTAGCTTTTCAATACAGAGTGAAGCATTTAGGTCTCTGATTTTTATCCCATTTTATTTTGGTAGTTCGACCGTGAAATTTCTTTGTTTCTATATTTTCGGAATATGAGTGTGCGACTTGGTGTATTATAATAAAAGGTTCATTTGATTTGGTGTGATACAAGAAGTCTTTTTTTTATTAAAATAATAAATAATTAAAATAGAATATTATAATTATATTTAAAGTATAATAAGATATTAAAGTAGAATAATGGATAACATAAGAGACAAGAGTTGGTCTACAAATATTTTTATTTTCGCGTCAAGCACTAATTTATTTTTAACGTTTAATTAGATCGAGTAATTATTCAAAAATTAAGAACAGGAGAGATTTTTTTAGCCAATTTAACTTTCTGTACAGTGAATGATGGCCTTCCATTTTATCTTATTTACTGGTGTTGGTCATTCATACAGAATCCATTGTCTTCGGCCTAGTCAATTCCAAGTCCTCTAGTCTAATTTTTAGGGCTCTAGAGCCTCAAGCCGTCGGATTGTTATGATTGAACCCTTTGAATCATAACATTTTAAGATTCTAAGTCTTTGTACAGTTAGTAAAATAACAATATTAAAAAGTAAAATTAGCAAAATGACATTCAATAAAATGAGTGCTGTCATTTTGCAAATAAAAGTTTTTAAAAGATCATTTTACAAAGTGTTTCCCTTAAAAGTCATTTTGCAGAATTTTTATCCCCGTGATGCCATCTCCAACCGAACTCCAAATTTCCAAAATGGAGCAACAAATGAACTCCAACCAGGCGCTAATGCGCCACGCCAAAATGAAAATTCCAATCATTGGGATGAATGATGCGCCAAATGTGGCGCCTGCTTTCTCATTTTCGCTTTTGCGCTATTTTTTTTTTTTTTTTGCTTTTGTTAATTAGAATAGGAGCCCATTTGCATTTTTTAGGTCCTAATTTTTACCCCAAGTTCAAAAACATGATCAAAATTGTTCCCTTTTTACTACCAAGAAATAAAAATCCTTTTGGTATCCTAATTTTAAATTTTTTAAAATGATTTTTAGTTTAATTTGAATATTTGTGAAAATAAACTAAATTATAAAAATTAGATGACAATTCTAAAAATTCAAAATATTACAATAATTAGAATAAACTTATATTAATATTAAAATAAACTTAAAAAAACATAACATACTCGTTTGGAAGGTATACTCAAACTATAATTTTTGATTTTGACGTTTGAAATTTAAATTTTTATGAGAGAAAAATATTGTAACATAATCAATAATTTGAGTTTGAGTATATGAACAAACGGATCCAACATAAAATATAACTGATAGACATTAAATAAAGTTACACTAACACAATGACGAAATATAACATAAAGCATCAATAATTTAGTAATATGGTAGACCAGTTCCAGATCCTGCAATACCATCAAAATATTGGCCAAAAGCATTCGGCGTAGGAGATGGCCCTTGGTGTTGTTGTTGTTGTTGAGATCTTTTATGCATAATCTTTATTGTTCAGCTCGAATAAACTCACGTCCGTGTTTAATTAATATTATTTCTTACGAAATGGTTAAATAATATATTATTTATTACATTAATATGTACTATATGATTATGTTTGATAGCTTATATTGTATTGTATAAGGTGTATTATGTTGTGTTATATTATCATAATACAATACGGTGTTTGGTGTCTTGATGTATTGTATAAAGGATCAATGCAAAATTTTATTAAATAATTTTGGGGAATATAAACTTTAAAAAATTTTGGAGTCAAAATATAATTTTTCAAAAGTTTTGAGGTCAAAATGAAATTTTATAAAAATTTTGGGGTCAGAGTGTAATTTTACAAAAGTCTTGGGTGAAAATATAATTTTACAAAAAATTTTTAGTCAAAATATAATTTTTAAAAAATAAAAAATTTACATTGTGCCCCCTAAATTTTTCAACATTATAAGTTCGGACATGACCTTATGTTAGCCCAACCCCGACCTCTAGTTTTGCTCAATCCCGACATAAATTATTGATCCACTATAAAATAATACAAATACAATACGCCAAAATGTGCCTTATTTAATAATACGACACAAACTATATTAATTTACCATCTGTATTAGTTTATATAATGCAATGGTCATACTAAACATTATATTATTGTATTATTATACAATATAATGCTTTAATAAAGTCAAATAAACATGCTTTGTATGTGCATAATTGATTAAATAGATTAATTATTAATAATTATTATAGTAAGAAAAAAATAGAATAAGAAAAATGAATATAAAAGGTAGAATATTTCTTTTAGAGTAAAGTTTAAAATAAATGAATTGGAGATGAATTTCTTGAAAATAGAACAACTCTAAAATAAAGCGATGGGTTGGAGATGGCCTCCAGGGTGGGAAATGGCTAACTAGTGTTGGGATTGTTTAAATATGACATTTAAAAATTTGTTAAGTTTTATCACATCTAAAAGTGGACAAAATTTTCAGCAAGTCTGGCGCTACATTTGGGCGCCGCGGCGCTGGACTGGACAAAATTTTCAGCAAGGCTGGCGCTGCATTTGGGCGCCGCGGCGTTGGACTGGCAGAGAGCATAGCGCCGTGGCGCTGAGTTTGGGCGCCGCAGCGCTCTGGCTTGCAC